TGGTTCTAGCCCCTGATTCCTTCACAAGCAATCCCTGACTTGATCTTGCCTGCTGATACAACAATAAATTACTGTGTGGTGTCCTTTCTTCGCCTCTTGCTTCCTATTCCAGCAGGCCTGGGTCCTATCTCCAGTGAGGAAGATTTCATTTCCGGTGTTTGAGAAAAGTGGTCTCCCTGACCTGTGATTTCTCCTCAGGGAAAACTTGAAGCATGCCTGGCCTTTGATTTATGGATCCCCACTGCCTACAATGTATTACCCAGCCCCTTTGCCTTTGGTCTCTCTCATTCCCCTGCCTCCTCTCCAGCCTTTGAGTCCCTCCAATCCTTCTCTCTCTGGCTTCTTCTAAATTTTCCTGTCTCTGTTCTGTAAGTGCAAACATCGGTTTAATACCTGTTAGGGACAAAGTCCCGGATGCCTATGGCAGTCATTACATGTCATCCTAACAATAGCCCTACAAATTAAATTTTACATATGAGAAAACAGGCAAAGAGGTCAAGTGACTTTCCGTAATGGGCTCTAATGCCTCTGTCCTTTCTACTATAGTATGTTATTTTGAATCATGGCCAACATTTACTTAGAGCTAATCAAATTATCCATATATCTCATCCCCCGGACAACACTGTTATTGTCCCCATTTTACTGATGTGGTGACTAAGAGTTAGTACCAAATCACATAGCTGTAAGTTATAGGCTCAGATTTGACTCAGGGACTCCAGAGCCAAATTCTTCATCTTGACTCTATGGATCAGGAACCCTGGTGTTTGCTTTGCCATTGTTATTGGCTTAAGGTGTTTCTTTAAGGCAAATCATTTTCTCACTCCTAATCTCAATTTTCCCATCCATACAAAAGGAGGCTTTGTCCAGTTGAACTCCAAGAGTCTCTCTGAGGAAGTGGCTGGGCCTTTGAAGGAATAATCACACTGGGATGTGTTGGAGGAACTGTCTTTTCCAAACTCATTTTATATTTATTACTTATTTTTGTGAAGGTGATGACTCTTCAGTGCCCGAAGAATAAAACCCAAATACCTGAGCAGGCTCAGAGAAGCCTGGATGCTCTGATCTCTGCCAAGCTCCCTGGTCTCCCTCCCATTCTCTGCACTGGCCATTGCAAACAACTGGTGGTCTGTGCTCTCTTATGTCTCACTTGGGCTGGGGTATTACCTCTACCTTCTCCTCGACCTGAAAAAGTTGTTTCATCATTGAAGACCGAGCTCAGGTGCTACACCCGCTGAGATTTCTCTGAACCCCCAAACTGATGCTTTGAGGCCATCTCACATATTTGCATTACCCTACACATTCTCCAACCCAGCACTCTGCCCCTGAGTTAGTGGCTATTGGTATTTCTGTCTCCTGTCACTGACTTATAAAAGACCCTTAAGGCTTAAACTTGTCATATCTATCCCCAGAGCCTGGTACACAAAGGACATATAATAACATAATGAAGATGACGATGATGGTGGTGGTGGTGAAGATGATATTTTATAATATGAATCAGGTCCTTAATATGCGCCAAACAGTTTTACATGCCTTTACTTGCTTAATCCTTCTGAGGTGGGCTATATTCCCTTTTCATAGATGAGGAAACAGAATAAACAGCTTTTTTACTCGTACAGGGATGGTCTCTAGCAGAACCCACTTTCTCTACATTCCAGCATCTTCTAGATGCCTAGGATGCTGGGAGGTGACCTGGGGGCCGCTCCCTCTCCTGCTGGCCTCCCCTGCTCTCCTCTCCATCTGACACCAGCTGGTGTCCCTAAGTACAGTGATGGGAAACAGTTAACACCTGGATGCGCACTTTACAGGTTTATTGCTGCCAGCTTTGCTTCCCTCCACTTATTTCTCCTCAAGGCAACTAGAAATACCTTTTAAAAGTTCAGTTCCAAACCTGTGACTTTGCTTTCTGAAATCTTTCATTATATGAGGACTTACCCTTGAAATAATAATCATAGATAACATTTATCAAGGAATTATTATAGATAATAATATTTTGTTAATTTTATTTTTATTTATTTTTAGAGAGAGTGTCAGGTCCTGTTGCCCAGGCTGAAGTCCAAAGTCTCAATCATACCCCATTGCAGCCTCAAACTCCCAGGCTCAAGTGATCTTCCTGCCTCAGCCTCTCAAGTAGCTAAGACGATAGGCACCCATGACCACACCCAGCTAATTTTTTTTTTTTTAAGTGTATTTGTAGAGACAGAATCTTGCTATGTTGCCCAAGGCTGGTCTTGAATTCCTGGCATCAAGCAATCCTCTCACCTTGAGCTTCTGAAGTGCCGGGATCACAGCCATGTGCTACCACACTTGGCATCTTTCGTTATTTTTAAAACAGCACTTTGTGGTAGATACAGTCATTGTTATCATTTTATGGATAAGGCAAGAAAACAGACAAAAATAATGAAGCAATTCACTCAATCTCACACAGCTAGTCAATGGCTGAGTTGCAATGGATTTGAACTTGAACAGTCGCCTTTACTCCATACAACCAATGCCCCCGTCTCATGCTCCAGTGGTCCGGCTCCTGCTGACTCCTCCAGTTTTGAACTGTGTCCCCCATAGACCCTGTATTCCAGCCATAAATTTTGAGAACATCTCTGCAATCATTTATCTCTACACCTTCACCTGTGCTGCCTATTATGCTTTTGTCCCCCCCTTTTTAATTTAACTCCTATTCATTTAGGAGGCTCAACACAAGATTCCCCTTCCACTAGGAAGCCTCCAGTCCTACTAAGCACCTCCCTCCTTCCTCACACAGCTCTATCAAGTTCCTGTCACTTTCTTATAATCTCCACCTGTTTGTCCTTGCCACTGAATCAGAAGTTTCACCATACAGTATGTGCTCAGTAAATGAGCAATGGGTCGCTTTGTTTCCTTCACCTTCACCACAGCCCCATTTTCAGATAAAGAAATGGGTTTGGAGGTGTTTGAGGAAATTTCCCAAAGCCATAGAGTTATTATGGGGTAAAGCAAGAACTCAAATGAGGAGGGCTGAAAAAGAAACTCTCCAGCCTCCTCTTGGGGGGAGGGGGGGGACGGGACTTGCCGGAGAGGAGAGAGGACTATGGAGAGGGTGTGATTATGAAGTGATGAATTCTTGGCACTTCGGGAAATATTCCACCCAAGTGGTGAACTATACAAAGAGGACTTTTTGAAAGGCACCTCATAAATTGCGCCCACAAAATGTACACACATAAGCCTGGGCCTTTTCCAGCTGCCATGCAGGTGCCTAACACAGTCTCCCATTTGTGGGGTCTGTTGTTGTAAAACTCCTTCAGAGGGGCATGGAGAGGACAGCAGGAGAAAGAGCCTCTCGGGGAGCCTGCCAGGATGCCTGGGCATCTTGAAGATGCTGGAATGGGGGGAAAAGTGGGTTCCACTTGGAGATAAACACCCGGACACTGAAGCCGACTTGTAGTATGACCTGAGAAAAGGATGTTCCATTCCTACTCTGAGCCTCAGTTTCAACATTTTTTATAAAAGCAGATCGGACTAGGTCAGTGGTTCTCAACTGGGGTGATCCCCCTGACCAGTGGGTATCTAGCACTGTCTGGAGACAATTTGATTGTCATGACTGAGACAGAGGCACTGTTGGTGGTGGGTTGAGTCTCTAAAATGCTACTAATTACCCTGCATGATTATTCCCACAACAAAAAATTATCCAGCCCAAAATGTTGAAAAACTACGTGATCTCAAAGATTCTCCCGAGCTTTGTGCAGCCTTCAGATCTCTCCTAGTTTCCCTCTGGTGCTGGATCTAGAGCTCTGGATAAGGTCCTCCTAATGACCACCAGAGTACAGAACGGTTCTCTCTAAGACTCGTGTTCAACAGACCTTGATTCCGAGACATCCTTATAATAATGCTTTATAATATTAGCTATCAATTATTGGAAGCTTCCTCTGCACCACACATTGGGAATTTCTCATACTCAACTTATGAGGATGAGCCCGTCATCACTTTCTTAGAGATACCGAGAAGTTCTGATTTGGGGGAACAAAATGAAATACAGAGAAGTTCTGATTTGAGGACATTTATATTTAGGCATTCATGGAAGATAATCACAGGGGGGCAAGATTTCCAAATTTCCCTCCTGGGAGAAGAGAGTATAAGAGAATTATTGGAGCCAGAAAGCAGGCAGTTGAAGAGGGCCTCTGTGGATGTTCAAGCCTGGATCTGAATACCTGACTTCAGTGGTCAGCTTGGTTTTATTTTATTTTTATTTTTTTTTTGCAACTTTTGGCCAGGGCTGGGTTTGAACCTGCCACCTCCGGTATATGGGGGGCTGGGGCCCTACTCCTTTGAGCCACAGGTGCCGCCCTCAGCTTGGTATTTGACCCTGTCATGTCATGTCACTACTCTGAGCCTTGCTTGGTCACTTCATCCATTGAATGGGGATGGAAAGAATAATACATTCAGAATCAATGTGAAGACTAAATACAATTTTTTTTTAAGGAAGCATGAAACGAAGCTTGTTGAGGAAGAGAAGTACAGGCTTACGGAGTAAGAAAGCTTACAAAGCAGGATAAATTTACCATAGACAGGGAGCGGGCTTCCATCACCTGACATGTATGCAAAGAGGCCTTAAATACAGTTTTTAAATTGTGAGTAAAGTGCATACCTAGTGGCGAGGGAGCACATGGTAAGTGTCAACAGATTTTGGTTATTACTGTTGTTTTTATCTTTGTTATAATAATTTCTATGTGATCAGAGATCCAAGGCTGATGATCTTCTAATTCCTGGGCTTCCTAGATCCTAGAAGTAAAAATGCAAAGTCTAAGTTTGTACCTCTCTTTCTCTTTTTTACACATGGCACAATTAAAGTGGACAGGTTCTAAGGTAATTTTTGAATAGCCCTTTGAAAGGCCTCACTCAGGTTAGGAATAGAGGAAACTCTTGGAAAGAGGAGTTCTCCTTGGTTTCGTGACCTTTATTCACCACCTCCAAGGCCTGCCCCTCCACCTGGGCTTCTTGCTGAATCCTTGCTGTCTCGTCTTTCCTTTCAGGAAGGCCCACCTGATCCTGCGGCGGCTGGAGAGGGTGAGCAGCCACTGCTCCAGCCTCCTGCGAAGCGCTTACATCCAGAGCCGGGTGGACACGGTGCCCTATCTTTTCTGCCGCAGCGAGGAGGTCCGACCTGCAGGCATGGTGTGGTACAGCATCCTCAAGGACACCAAAATCACGTGTGAGGAGAAGATGGTGTCCATGGCCCGAAACACGTACGGGGAGTCCAAGGGCCGGTGAGGGAGGTTGCCTCCCTCCATGAGCACAGAGACTCTCCGTGGGAGGGGAGCAGCATTCGTGTGGATCCTGGGGCCTGGGTGGGCTGGGGGACAGCTGAGGACGGGCCTGGCAGATGACGCTTGCCAGCAAGGCTAAAGCAAACTGTTTCTCCTGTGGATAGCAGACTGAGAACTTTGTAACCAATGGAATTTATTCATTTTTCTCTATCTTTTATTTTTTCTAAGATATTATTTGAGTCTATCAAAAGTCTCTCCTTTTTGAGCCTTTTCTTATGGATGGCGGTCAATCCCAAGGCAGGAGCTTTCAAGTGGAGACCAAGCGGCCTTTCCTCTTCTTCCTCCCTCCTGCCACACTCAGCTTCCTTCCTGCCATGGACCCCGGGAGGAGACCTGTGGAGAGACAGCTTTGCCTCTTCAGCATCAGGAAGGAAGCCCTGAGGATTGTTGCAGCGGGGAAGCTTGGGTCTTTAAGGACTTCTCTTCTTTCTCCCCGGACATTATTGAGTTTGCAGGACCCCTGCCTCTTCCTGCTACCTATGGGTCTGCCCAGGTCCCTGCAGGACTTTACATGCATTAAAACTCCCTGTTGTCTCTCTTCTGTTTGGGTGGTATTTCTTACCAGTTGTCTTGGGAGGGGGGACCTCAACAAATATTCATTGAGTTTCTATTATGTGCCAGGCACAGGCCATGCAAAGAAAGTGAAGCTTCTTTCCCTCAGGGAACTTATGGCCCAGTGGAAATTGTAGAGAAGCCATCTAGTGATTCCAGGCTGTGATACGGAGAAGAATGAAGGTTAAAGGATAGAATAATGGTACATTCATTGTTAGGTCATGACACTCATTGGAGGTGTCCTGAAATGCTTCCTTGGAACAGTGATGCTTAAGCCCAAAGGAGGAGGAGGAATAAGCCAGACAGATGAGTGGATGGGATTTGCTCTAGTCTAGCCAAAGGGGATGGTATGAACAAAAGCCCAGAGGAAAGCTCAAGTTCTGTAAGCACTTTCATTAAGAATAGGGATCAAGGTAGGAAGTTGGTGGGCTGGAAGCTTGGCAGGGCATTGGAAGATTTGGACAAAACTTTTGATGGTATTTGGAAGTAGCCAGGAGCCACTACAGAAATGTAACAAATGACTAAAATAGCTTGCTCTTTAAGAAAAATCACTCTAGCTCAGGGTGAAGGGTGGATTGGAGAAAGCCTCAAAGAGATGGGTGGCCATTGACATTTTCCAGACAGGAGGTGATGGCAGCTTGGATCTTGTGGTCATGGGGGAGACATTCCAGCATTGGAATCTCCTTTTATTCAGCTATTTTTAAAACAGCTTTATTGAGGTATAATTGAAATCTCCTTTTAAATGGCAATTGTACTGCTTCCATTGTGTTCCCTAAGCGGATAATGAGTACAAAGAGGTATTATAAATTCTTAACACCCTGGTATCAGCCAGGATTATTTAGCCACCTAGAGGAAATAGGATGTGGGTCAGGTGTATCATAATGTAAAGATGACACCCACAAAAGGCTGTTGGCATTCAAAAGAGGGAATGACAATGAATAATATTAAAGGTAAGCAGATAAAAGTATGCCTCCTTCCTAGTTTGGTGAGTGCTGATGAGATCAACAGTCCACTTCCTGAACACTTGCATATTGGGACCTTTTCCCCTAGGACTCAGATTCACATGGGGAAAATGGGCAATGTAAGGGAAACAAAGCAGAAAGGGATTCTTCCAACTTAGGTGCCTGACGAGCTTCTCCGCCTCCAACAATCTAAGCTCCAAGACATTCTCTTAACATGTTTTATCATCACTGGGTTTATGTTTGCACAAGTATGGAGTTTCTAACTTCCTCTCCTGTATATCCCTTTCCTAAACCCTCAGTCCTAGGCTAAGCTATCAGAGTACTGTGGCTTTCCATTGTCCTGACCCAACCTGAGAAAAGATTCAGGTCAATGGTTGTAGAACATTAAACCACTCTGTGAGCCGGGCAGTGCTCTGAGCCTGATTAAGTCTGAATCTGACTCCACTGCTCTTCTCCAGTTATTGCCCTTTGGTGAGTAACTTGACTTTGAATCTGAGTTTTCTCATCAACAAAACAGGGTCAATGACGGGGTCAAATCCCACCTTATGAGTTATTGCATTGACCAAGTGAAATAGGTGGTAATATACATCAATGAAATATGTAGTAGGGTTGTTTTTTTTTAACTTCTAACAAAGACAATGTGCATAATACTAAGTCTTAGGCAGATGACTGGAAAAATTCATCTAGGAATGGCCTAGAGAATTCTGATTAAGAGAAGGAATTAATGACCATAGCTCTGTGAAATATACACATTGTAAATATAGTAGAACCTCCATAAGACAACTACCCGAGGGACTATAACAAACTGGTCAGCATATGGAGGTGGTCAGCATATGGAACTAGACCTACTGTACTGATACATACATGTGATGCATGTCTGGTCTATGAAAATTAGGTCAGCTTAAGGAAGTGGTCAAGGTAAAGAGGTGGTCAACAATGGAGGTTCTACTCTAGTATCAAAAATTTCAAAAATTTCACAGTGGTGGAAATGAACACAGCAGCAAGAGCGACATAGAGGAATATGTGATTTTCTCTGAGGCGCTCACTGACAACTGTGGCCCTTGAGAATGTACACATTCAGGCTGCCCCCAACTTCTTCTCCCATTCATCCCCCTGCTCTGATTTCAACTCCCTTTTCCTGACACTCTGGAATCTGTTACCTTCCCAGCCTTTAGAAAGTTCTCAAAAGTAGGAAGGCAGAAGCCTGGTGAGATATGTGTGTGTGTGAGTATGTGCATGTGCACACATACTCTGCCATGGCTGGAAAGGAGGTCAGAACAATATTTGTTATGATGCTTCATTGGAAAAAGAAAAAAAAAATTCTTCAAGTGCAAGTGAAGCGGCTGGCTATGATGCCCTGGCCTCCGATTCAGGTGCTCCCATGAAAATGTTAGGGGGGCTCATGCCACAAAATGCTGGCAAGGACGGGACTTCTCATGTGGTCTCCACCATCATGTAAAGGACTTGTGGACAGACAGAAGTGTGTTAGGGGTCAGGAAATTGCCCCTGGATGACCCCCTCCTTCCGTATGACCGGCTTCACAGTAAGGAGTGTGCTGCCCAGGCAGCTGCTAATAACTGCCATTTAGGGAATCCTCCCGGCATCAATGGCTACACATATTTCATTTATCAGTGTGCAAAACACTAGCCACATACTATTGTGATTCTCTCTCTCCTCTTTTTTTTTGAGACCGAGTCTCACTTTGTTGCCCTGGGTAGCATGCTGTTAGAGCGCTATGGCATCACAGCTCACAGCAACCTCAAACTCTTGGGCTTAAGGCAATTCTCAACTTCCCAAGTAGCTGGGAATATAGGCGCCTGCCACAACGCCCAGCTATTTTCTTGTTGTAGTTGTCATTGTTGTTTAGCAGGCCTGGGCTAGGGTCAAACCTGCCGGCCTGGGTATATGTGGCCAGCACCACCCTAACCATTGAGCTACGGGCACCGAGCCAGTGATTCTCATTTTATAATCAAAGAAACTGAGGTTTAGGCAGACTGACCAACCTGTCCTATTCCTATAGCTGGTGAGTGATGATGTTGAAATACTAAATGTGGGGATGATCTAATTGTGGGAAGATAAACTCTAACTGGTGAGCACTGTGCTTACTGCCTCCTTGAGCAGAGGGGTACAAGGCTTCCCTTAAATGAAAAGGTATGTCTGACTTCCAACCAATACTTAAACACTGATTTCCAGGTTTGAGGTACTGAGAGAAACAGGATCCAGCTCCTGCCCTTAAGGAACTCCCAGAATTTAGCTAACTAACCAGAGTGTAATAAAATCAGATACTTTGGAGTCAAGCCAATCTGGGTTTAAGTTTTGGCTGTGGGCAAAGCATGGTGGCTCAAGCCTATAATTCCAATACTCTAGGAGGCCAAGGAGGGTAGATTGCTTGAGTTCAGGAGTTGAAGACCAGCCTGAGCAAGATCGAGACCCCCTTCTCTACTAAAAATAGAAAAACTAACCAGGCGTCATGGTAGATAACCTGTAGTCCCGGCAACTGGAAAGGCTGAGGCAGAGAGGATCTCTTGAACTTAGGAGTTTGAGGTTGCTGTGAGCTATGATAATGCCATGGCACTCTACCTAGGGCAACAGAGCAAGACTCTGTCTCAAATAAATAATTAATAAATACCTTGGGTGTGCAATTTTCAGGGAAGGGGGCTAAACACAAAGAAATGTGGAAGGCAAATTGAGCGGGTGTGGCTAATTAAGAGGCTCAGTTAAACTGGGGTTAACTTAACCTCTATAAATCTCACTTTCTTCATCCGTGAAAAGGGGTCAATACACTACCTCAAAAGATGATGTATATAAAGCCATTGGATGTTTGGAAACAAAAGCAGCACTTAATACTTATTATAATGACTTATTTACATAAAACAAAATAGGTGAAATAGACTCTGCCTCTGTTTTTTATCTTATTGTATTTCATTTATGTATTCATTTATTATTTATTTGTTTATTTTTGAGACAGAGTCTCAGTCTGTAGCCCTAGGTAGAAAGTACCGTGGCATCATAGCTCACAGAAACCTCAAACCCTTGGGCTGGAGAGATCTTTTGCTCAGCCTTTCAAGTAGCTAGGATCACAGGCACCTTCCAGAATGTCTTTTTTTTTAGAGACAGAGTCTCACTTTTACTCAGGCTGATCTTGAACTCCTGAGCTCAGGCAATCCATCAGCCTTGGCTTCCCAGAGTGCTAGAATTACAGGCATGAGCCACCATGCCCAGTCTGGACTCTGCCTTTAGAAGTCAGGTCACCTTCAGGATATCCTTCAAAGTCAAAAGATATATTAGAGTTTAGTAAGTTGAGGAACAGAGACAGGACATGATGGGCACAGAGCCAGGCCCATAATAGCAGTGAAAAAGTGTTCCATGTGTGAGGGCTGGTGAGCTACTGGTGTGAGTAGAGAGAGGGAAGATGTGTTCGGAGAGGTTG